CAGAACTCTGATTAAAAGAAAGCAAACACAAAACAAGCGCAAGTGAATTATTTCTTTAAAATGTCACTGTTTTCATTTGAGGCATATAGTGTTTTAATAAGCTTTGTTTTTTTTCTTAAGGAATAGTATCATATAAATGGATATCCACTCAAGATTTTTAACCTTATCAGCTAAATACCTCATCCTGAAAGCTCCAATAATTGTGTCTAGCTGATGTCCCACCAATCAAAATTACTAACTTGGAAGAATATGGATTTGGATCTACACATATTTTCAGTTTAGGATCTTTAATCTCAGATTTTGATAGATCAAAACAATGTATAAGCTTGAAATTAAATCTGATCATGCTTCCAAGTATATTAAAAAGGATTTTTATTTAAAGTAAAAATACTGTATTTCAAAATCCTTAAATGTTTCAACTTTTCTTTTTCCAACTGGTGTATAAATTTCAATATAGAACATTTTTAAAGAAGGGGGGAAAAATCCCTCAGAAACAAACCAGAACAAATTGAACAGGTTTCTAAGGAAAGAAAACGGAGAAACTTGTTATTAAAACTTTAAGACTTGAACTACTTCTGTTTACTGCTACTGACAAAAGCCATCAGTCAACATTTCAATCTAGCCCTTATTACAACACGTGCAAAACAGAACACAGTTTCTAAGAGGGAATTCATTATTAATCATAAAAGGATGTTGATTTCAAGTCGTAAATGCCAGGAACAGCAAGTTTGTTTTTAAAAACCTTCCTGCTGCTGAGATTACATGGTTGAGAGCTCAAATTTGCTAAACCCACACATTTGTAGAGAACTTTTACATGTGACCTGGTATGCAAAATACTATTAAAATATGAATAAAGCATAACCTTTGCAGAAAAAGCTACCTTCTCCTGGCTTTTTATTAATTATGAAAGCCAGATTCATTTTTTATTTAGCTATTTAATTGTTTAAACTATTTAGCTATTATTTTCCTGGGGAAGAAAAATAAAATATTATCTTCTTCTACTGATAAAGAAAAGAAAATGCAGGAAAGCAAACAATAGAAAACGCTGACAGTTGACATATAGTCAATGATCTGAAATTCTAAGGCATTTATTTTTTCCTTCAAAGTGATACTAAAAATTTATAGGGTCTGTTTATTTTCAGTACATTAACATAACTTAAGGTCAGGCAACCTTAGAGAGTAAAAGGACTTTAAAACAGGTGTAAAAGTGCACTGTCAGAATCATGTAAGGTGATATTTGTATAAAAGACAATCAAGTTCTTTGAAATTATAGTTTGATGTATCTAAATATCTACTTTCAGAGTTTTCTTGCATCTGTCAAAGACTGAGATACCTTATTCAAACTCAAGAATCACACAAAATTTAAATTTTTAATGTCATTAATCTTTTTTAAATTAACTTCTATATTGTATCTCTCAGCATCGTCAAACATGCATTTGTTTTGCAAGAATTGCATGAGTAGTGATGCTCAATAATCACAAAATTCTGTATCTGGAAGCTATAGCTGCTTTAAAGGAAATCTGAAAGGTCAGTCTTCCTAAAGGAGAGCATTGATGTTACTGAGGACTAGAGGGAGAAACAAGCATCGCTGCCAGAAGGGTTTCTGCAGCTGGTGAAGCCTCCTGACAGACAGCCCCTTAGGGAGCATGATACAGTCTTTATCTAGCCAGCATCTGCACTTCATGCCAAAGGGAAAGCCAGCACTGCACCAGAAACAAGTCTGAAGCTTGACCACAAGGACCAGAGGTGTCAATGAAAATTTTGAGACACCAGCAGAGGAATCTTGAATCCTGAATCCTGAATCCTGACAGCTGGGGACAGAGACAAGACCAGGGCTGGCTACTGGGTGAGGAGCCATAGCCCACACAACAGAGACCCACAGTCAAAATCCAACAGGGAAATTATCAAAGACCATCATAAGGAAAATGAGAACAAAAAAGGGGGGAAAAATTTGAAATAAAAAAGGAAACATTTTCAGTTATTTAGATGCAAGACATGTTCTAATCTAGGTATGGTAATTTTTCCAGAGGTTGAACTGTACTACAGACCTGGTACTTTCATTATTTTTTTTTTCATAGAAAATAAAAATGTGACTAAAAGCTATAAATTTTCTGAAGCCAAACACCAGCAGTATAGATGAAGACAAGCATAAACACATTATAGCTATATGTTACCATACAATTTGAGGAAGAAATATCCATAAAAACTAGCTTAGAAGTATCTATAAAGGGTAGCTATCCAGCTGACAGAGAAATAAAAAATCATAGTTGCATGCATCCTCATTAAGAGGAAACTACAGGAGAAAGTAGAATACAGTGGGAAAACTATTATAGTTTAAAAGCATCTGCTATACAGAACAGCAAGGGAAAAAGTGCTCTGTCATCTTAGTACTGCTTTGCTTTCAATAAATATAGATGTTTTCACTGAAATCAATTACAACATCCACTGTGTTCCCTCTGACTCACTGGAAATCAAAGGCACTACCTAATTTGCACTATCATGATTTGTAGTATTGACAAATCATTCACAAAGATTACTTGGGTTTGGTACATTTTGTCTAGTGAGAGGAGGCAACAGCTTTGCCACAGCCGATCATTATGTGCTTAACTACCATAGATATATGGTAAGTTTAGTGAATATTGAAATAGATGGAAACAAACTGTACCAACCCTATTATGACTTCCCTCTTCATTGTTACTGCACCAGCACCTGCAGACACTGATGGAGATCAGCATCCAGCATCTCAAGCCCTGAGAGACTTTCAGAAATAGAGCTCAGTTGTCCCTTTCAAAATCTTCCAGGCTTTAAATAAAAATGGGTAAGTGCAAACAGCAGTGCAAGGTAGGAAGAGAAGTCTCTCCTTGCCAAATCAATCCAGCTGCACTGGGCACAAGGTCTGAGCCCCATGTGCCTGCTGACACCGTAGTCCCTGTGCACAGAGGGTGTGCAGCAGAGCAGGGGCTGGTGGGACAGGAGCAGGGCCTCAGCATGGGGCTCAGAGCAGAAACACCCACCACAGAGCAGTGTGCCAGCCCATTTGCATCTCCATCGCTCCACACGCTAGACAGAGCTCACCCGTGAGCTTGGACAACCAGTTGCATCCAGCGTGTGAGCTCATGGAGTTGAAAAAAAGAGACAGAAAGAGAGAGGCAAAGAACATCCTAACACATCCATTCTTAACAAGAGCTAACAAGGGGTGTCCTTAGATAAACCCTTTCCTGTTAGCTTTGTGGTCAATGCGGTTAGCATGGTGTGGTTTCAGTAGTCTGAGTAGCAGCCAATCTAATCCTATGTCAGATAACTCCCTGGAGTACACATACATCAGGCAGAAATAATGTGACTGAAAAGCTACAGGCTTAGTAAAAAATTTAGCAGTGTACCGGGGGATAGAAAAAGGCAAAATGTAATGGAATTTAAAACTGAAGCAAATTCTAAGGTAGCTTTTAGCTACTACTATGTAACGGTTATGTCAGTACTAGCATTTGCACAAAATGTGTCAGTTTTTCAGCTCACTTAATAAACACTAACTTTTCAGAAAAAAATGTAGCAATCATGTAGATCTGGAATGTATGTTATAATAGTTATGACAAGGATCTAACTCTAATGTTTTTCAGATATTGTTTTTTAGTATTAGTCTTTAAACCTTTTTAAGCATTTTTTTTTCCTCTTGTGCCTTCCAACAGATCAGTGGAGGGAGATAACAAGGTCACACAATCTGGTACACAGTTTCTGTTGGTAGAGTTTTTTCTATTTGCACAGAAGAATTAAATGAAAAAAAAGGCGTCCTTGCCAAGTAGTTGAGAGATTTTAAATGGTAGATATTGTAAAGTGGTTTAACAGCTGTGGCTGAAAATGAGGAGCTATCATATGCTTTTCCATGGGTAGCACACAGATAATTATTGCAAAGTAGTCTTAACAGGAGAATAATTTGTAAATATTTACTACACTGTCTTTGGTACTCTTCTTAAGGAACCTCTTGCACCAAAAACCAAAGATGTTTGAAACCTGCTTTTTGTGGTTTGATTAAAGTCCCTGAATAAACTCCCTTTGGTGAATCTAGTAGTCAATTCAAACTGTTGCCCTTCCCATCAGCCCTTAGCAAAACAACAGTTGGTATTTCAGATTTGCAGAGCTACCCAACTGGCTAATATACATCAACTAAAGCCTGTAAAATCTGCACAGCTAACAAGAAAATAGGTCAACCTCATTTTGGTTTTCTCATGACTGTAACTCTCCTTGCATGGAACCATCTTTTGACAGAAAGAAATGCCTTGAACCCAATGAGTTCTCAAGTTACATTGATGTTTAGCTGTCAAATAAATATTGCATATTGGATTCTCTGAATCTTATTGAGATGGTGATTTTAATTTAATTCCATGCACAGGTGGGGCTTCAATACCACAAAACCTGCAGAGCACATTAAGGCAGCAATAAGAAACATCTACTAAGGATGGGTAAGTTGTGTGTTTTGTTTCTTCTGCTATTAAGTAATAAGAGACTACACTAATCCTAGCTAGCTATATAGAAATTCCAGATTGTCTCTTTATATTAAAGAAATATTTTTAACACAGTAGTTTGTCATCTGACTGTTTCAACTATATCAGAAGTTGTTAGAGTCCAAACCTCTCTTCTACTAAATACATTTCCATCCTGTCAAAGTTATTTGAAATACAGATACCTGTCATTTTGTCTGACACATCCTTTTGAAGGATGAGCTACTATTTCCCTGCCTAACTTCATAATCAATCTGAGGAATACCAGATATATAATTATTCTAAAATATCTCTTAAAGGAGCAGGTAAATACACAAGCCAAGCTACTTGAAAGTATAAAGTATTTCATTCTTGTTATTGTGTTGTCTTTTACTGCCTTCTGAAGAACAGACTAGAAGAGCTTTCTTCTGACTACTGACAGAGAAGAAATAATTTTTTAAGTGTTTTGAAATAATATAATACTCAAATATTCTCCAGTATCAGCATCAAAATCAAACTAGCACTTACATTTAGATGAAGTTGGTTAGTCCACTGACCAATTACTTTGTATTCTGTACTCTTATTGGTGATTTGATACTGGAAAATATCATAGCGTCCAGGAGCATCTCCATTTTCATTGAAGACAACAGGTGTTCCAGCACTCCCTGAAAAAAAGAAATATTAAAAAGCAATTAGAATAAATGCCCTTGAAGTAATTATCCAGAAAATACATTTTGGAGGAAAAAATACTCATTAGAGTTTGAGTAGGGTCTTCATAATGACAGGCAAAGAGAAATTTGTTTGTTATCAACATAGTGAAAAAATCTACCCTATCTATGAGTTAAAATAACTTTAAAAGATAATATTTCACAATATTTTTGTTTGGTTGGTTGATTTTGTGTGTGTGTGTATTGCAGAGCATTAGGAAATTCTCTGGTAAAGCAGAAGTGGAGAAATTCCTTTTGACTTGTAGAAGGGCACAACTTCACTTTAGGATGCAGATACAGCACAGTAGACACAAAACAGAACTCTTAATGAACTTCATAAAGAATTTCCCTGTTAAGTATGAAAATAAAATTAGTATCATCAGCTTAGGGGTCCATGCTCATAAAAGACCTTGACATGCAAGTATCTAAATTTGGTTACAGTTAAAGTGACTGGTGTTTTATCAAAATAAATTAAGGATAGCAGCTGTGCTTGTTTCTCTCTCTATGCATGACACTACCTGACAGAAAGGGCCATTGCTGAAGCTGTCAAAAGTTATAAATCGACACTCTGTTCTTACTTCGATCAACAAAATGTTCAAAGATTGAAAACTACACATCTACCCTGGTAGTCAGGGCAGCCAAATCAGAACACATTTTGATTAATTTTCTCAAGGTGACATCAAGGATCTGCAGTCATACAGAAACTTTTAAAAAACTACACAAAGAATGTAATTTTTACCCATACCTCAAATTAATCCGTATAGGTAAATCTTATTTATAATCACAGTTCATTGAAATGAACAAATTCAACTATGTTATCGTTATATTTCAGTGACTGGAGAATGAAGTCTGTCTTTATTTGGGAAAGACCCAACAAACCACCACAAAACCTACCCCTTAATTTTTTCACATTTCTCCATATGAACAGCCAAGAAAAGGAGAATACCCAGTTCACAGTGTATTTTTACAGTATAAGACTTCTTAATGTAGCACCTAGATGCACTAAGGCCACTGTGAGTGATTTCCAGAGCATGTCAAAAGAGCTTGAAATTCTGGGTATGTATCAAGCAACTGCAAGCCACTGGAAGTGGGGACTGCAACCTACATACCCCAGAATTTCAGCATAAATACTTTTACTTGTTTGTCTCTATGTCTCCCATGAAGTATTTTGTTCTTGTGTGTTGTACAGAAGCTTGCATGCAAAATGGAAATCCAGTAAAATAAACAGTGCTTTAAGAGCAACAAGTGGCACAACTAGCTACTCTGCCAGTTTTACAGTTTTGCCAGCAAAAGTCTCACTGAAAAAATTAGATTTGAACAGCTATGGAAAAGGAGTACCAAAAAATTATGTGGGATTAAAGTCTTAAGAACCCATGAAGACACAAGAGACTCAGCATATTTGGAAGGCTCTTCATGCTTTCCTCCCAGTTCCTTTTACAGAATGGAGAGCAAGAAAAAATGCCAGTCTACAATCTTCTGAGTAATTTAATTATTCTTCACTGCTTAAATAGCTTGATCCAATAAATTTCTTCCACCCAATGAACACATACTAAACTCTTGGTAGTATGGAGATAGCCTTCAAAATATTACTGAATTCATCTTTCTACTCAGTAGCATTTAAAGAGCTTTTGGAAAGAACAGAAATATTTTCCCAGCAGATACAAAATGTCCTCTGCATCTCTTAAGACCAATGGGAACTTCAGATGCACTTACGCTTAGCAATAACAGTGTGATCTTATAATCTATTGCTGGTTTTAAAAATACCATGTACAAAGAGACAAACAATAGTACAGGCCAGAAACATCTTTCTCTTTGGTATAGTGTTGTTCTCAACTAGAGCATAACAGCATCTCATACTGTGCACCTCAGTCAATAGGGATGCAGCATCCTGCTGA